TGTATAGAGCAGGAAATGTGAGATTGGAAACAAATGAATTTCTTTGCCTGGCCCAAGTTATTGTTTCTTCGATCAACATTCAATATCAGGCGAGAGGGACTGGAAATGTTTTGAGGCGAGCCCCAAGGTACATGAATCTGTGTCCTGCAATTGATGACTTGGGCGCCCTACGGAAACACAGATATTGCGTTGGGGTTGACGGACACGTCGGTAAAGCCTGCGTGTTCGTTTCGTGCATCCATTGCAGCCATGTTTGTTGTGTTTACAGCATGAGAGAATTATTCCATGATTTAGATCACCATGACTGTGATTGCCAATTTGTTACTACTTACATTCAAACTGATACTGAATGATCACTTGAGATAACACGAAGTTTTGCAAGTTTTTTTTGTTTTTTTTTTACAAATTTCTGGTGTTGGTTTGTCTACTTCATGTGTATTTCCAAGATAATGAAAAGGCCGATAGCAAAACTCTTAATGGTCAGAGAGCCAGACAACATGGCTCTGTTATGTAGGTTTATTTCTCCTTCACCCTTTGCTTCGGATATTCTCTAGAAGTAACTTTGGTTGTACATGCATGATGCTCCAAGACCGAAAACTGTACTCCTAGTTGCTGCGTATGCCCATGCATTGCGTAGTGCGTTTTACCAAATGCGTATATCTGTTGAAACGTATGCTGCCCACATTTAAGATATGCCTACCGGTTTTTTAAAAAAAGAAATATCAGAACCACAAAACGCTCAAACTGGTTCTTTTCTTTCATGAAAATAAATGATATAGGTTTGATGTTTAGCTTTCCTCAGAATTTTAGATTACGAAATTTGTCGAGCCAAACTAACGATACACTTGACTGTGTATGTGGTGGCGTTTTCGTAATTTGGCAAAATGGAAAAGTGATTCGATTGTAAGAGCAAATTAATTCCGGATTATAATTTTTGACCGTTCCTTCTGTTCTTCACTGATCAAGTGAACATGTTCAGTTGAAATTGTAGTAACTTGTTTTCAAAGGTTTCTGTAAAATAAATATTGATTTTATTTGTTACCAGCGAGTCTGATAACTGAGAATTGCTTCGTTCTTACAATCGAAACAACTGGCCATTGGGGGGGGGGACTTTTTCCAGATTTAGGTTGTATTTTTAGCTTTACTCGATCAAAGTTCATGATCTAATTGGAAACCAAAACCCATATCAGTTGAAAATTAAAACTAATAAACATTTTGGGATTTGGGGGTTCTGATAATTCTTGAAAAATCTTTTGCTCCAAATAGCATCTCATGATATAAAATTCTATTTAATAAACCTGGTCTGTTTGTTTATGAAAGTACGCAACAGTGAGTGCAATTAGTCTGGCACCGATGACGTGGCGAAAAACCTTGTTCTGCAATTTGTCTTGGCTTCAGGTAATTTGACCAAATGACCTTCAACAGCATATTATCTCAATTCTCAAATTTGCATCTCCGAACGCGATGTCGTTAATTGAGTGAGTGTCCCAATGACTCGTTAAGGCAATATACGTTCGTCGATGAAATCACTTTTCTGATATGTAGTTCGCAACCTCTTAAGTGACGTCAACTTGTCAAACAAGTGTTTCGCTCGTCACCATCGCGAGTTTTACCATTAATAGCAATGACATCATCATTTTGTGCTGTTCACTCTTTAGCAATCGATGAAATTCTGCGTCGTGACTATTTCGAGTAAGCAGATTGGTTACGCATTTGCCGCGAGAATGCTCGAGTCTTGGAAGGTATCACCTGTCATTAGACATGCAACCAAATTATAGCGCGGTGGATACGCTTGAAGCTGATCGCGCAAAATAAAAAAAACACGTCATTCCTTGAGGGGCGCAGGAAGGATACATAAATTGTCCCCATTGGAATTAGAAAAGTGATGTTTTATGTGAGGTTATGATTAACTACGCTTCACTTATCAGTTTTTATGAGATTGCTGTCATGCGGTCTTTTCAAGATGCACTCTCATATCATAAGTCTTCTAAGTAGGATATATTTAACACTAATCTCATAAACCGACGCGCGTTTCCAAAGTTGTCACAGAAACTACGCAATAAAGAAAAGTATTCTTAAACACTCAAAAATAAAACTCTAGAATACCGCGCTTCCTGCCCAATTTATGTGATCTAGTAAGTAAATCAGCTCATCAACCAGCCTCGACAAGCTCGGTGGTCGAGTGGTTAAGACGTCTGCACTAATAAGCAGGAAGTCGTGGGTTCGAGTCTCACCCGAGCAAGCTTGTGAAATTTTTTGCAAGCTCTCGGACAAGCACTGAGTGTATAGTGTTGATAAGTATCTACGCTGGGTAAGGCAAAACCCGTAATTCAAATTATTATCTCCCCAACACAAAGTACATCTTGAATATAATTCAACTCAGTTGTTTTTTACAAACATTTCCATCGCTGTAGACATTGTCTTAGAATGTAAGCGTTTTGTTGGCACGACTCTCCATAGGCAGTGGCGTAAAACTGTGCCGGAAAATAGGGGAGAGGGACTTGCCTGGCCATGAAAAACTTGAAAAGCTGGGGGGGGGGTTGATACCATATGACTCTATACAGAGGTCGATGTTCATGATATTCATTAATATTAATTTGTATTCAGAATGGCGTATTTATGGCTTTTAAAAATTATTTTCCTTTTTTGAGTGATATTGAATGCATTTTAGTCGTTGGAAGTCTGACAATGTTTTCACAACCCGCTTTAATTATTTGCTCAAGTGCAAAAAAGTGGGGGGGGGATCATTCAATGGCTCATCCCCCTCAAAAGAGTGTGGGAGACTATATATACACCCCACCCCCCAGGATTTACGCCCATGTCCATTGGTCGGAAATAATTCCACGTGTACTTCTTTTGAATGCGGCATCCTGATTGACAGATTTCCCCGGATGACTGCAACATTCGTTTGAACCATCTGGGCAGTTGAGTGGGTCCAGCGTTGGTGTTCGATGGTCAACACGACGAGCTCAATTTACGCCGATCCAAGCTTGTCATGAAATGTAAAGTGCACGCGCGCGCATGCGTGTTCGGTGGAGAGGAAAACAATAGCTATACGCGAGCGAATGGGACTTCGAACATTATAGCATTGTGAGCTGTACGCAAGCCTCATATTTCCGCAATGGGTAATTCCAGTACGGGGGTAATCGGAGCACGGAGGTCTGTGATGAAGGCGGAAGATAAGACTGCGTTTTATTAGGTTTCGCTTGCTAATATTACGTCGGCTCGCCGCACGATGCTAGCTGCTAACGTGGCTTGGCATTGATAGGAAATTCAATTTGAAGTCTGTAGGAGTAGACAGCTATGCGCCGGCAGGGGAATGCATGCTGTACTCGCTTCTTGCTTTTGAGGCTACTGATGAAAAATCTTGGCCAGCATGCACCTAAAGAGCTGCTTGCTTAAACATGGGCGTCGAAAGGGGGTGGGGGAAAGCCCTTATAGGAAATAATGAATATTACCAATTCGTTTGAAAAACAAAACTCCTAAAATTGATCTGGCTTATCAGTTCGTATCTAATAAACGCTTTGTCCCCCCCCAAAAAAAGGTTCCTCCCATGGTTTGTCCCCTGCGGAAATAACCTCCATGGGGGCACCAATGTGCCTAACCTACAGAGAGATACAGCTTGAGAATCTATTCTTGTGCGTTGCTCCCTTTCTTTGATCATGATTATATTGCTGTGCTAAAGGAGACATTCTCTAGGCTTAATTAATTCATAGGTGACAGGAATGTCAATTATTATAGCAAACCAAGCAAAATTTAAATGGAATCGAGTAAACCACATTTATACAAAATCACTTTGCTTTAACTGCTTTCTGGAGAATTTATTACAGTGGCTCTCAAAATGTGCACATGTGCGCATGCTCTGAGTCCATCACGTGAAGATGTCTTTTTACCCTGCTATGACAAATTTAAGTAAATTAAATCGATATTTTGTAATTGGTTGGGGGAAGCAAAAGTTGTTTTGACATAATATCCCGAAGGGTCGGATTCATCATAAAAGGCCTTCCACGAAGAGGCAAAGAGTAACCAGTGGGGAATGATGATACACCACAGCTGGGAAATATTGGAAATAACCGGCGGTGGAAATACAAGAGGTGATATTGAGTTGTACTCAATGATCGTCCATCTTGTATTTCATATGGTAGAGATGGCTTCTTGCCACCCTACTCAATAAACCCAGCACGATTTGCCTTTGTTCATTACACGGACAATATACTTGAAGGCTATGAAAGATAACTACAGATTTTCAACAAAGACTTACCTTCTGAGTACTAGTTTGTTAATAAACCAAGAACCACCTTGCGTAAAGTACGAACTGCGATTACGAAAAAAACTCTATTTTGAGCATCAAGGTTCCAATCTTTTTATTTCATAATTCGTTGCTAGTACGACAGGACAAAAAAAGACAGCACCCATCTGGTAGAATGTTATGAATATTTAAAATACAGCCCCACAAAATATGAATATTTGAACGACGGTGAAGCTATATTACTACTTATGAAAGGGGGGGGTCGGACTCATGAAAGTATGAATTCATTTCCCCGATCAAAGAAAGTCTGCCCCTGCTTGCTTGCGGTGACCCACGTAAAAACCTTCCCCTGTAATGTCAGTCACTCGTGCGTGCAGACGCCTCACTGTACAGAACACTTTTTTATCACTGCTCTGTATGGCCGATTTGATTGGCCAACTACCGCACGAGCCGGTTCCGGTCATGCGCACTGGAAATAACAAGCAATACGCGCCTCTGCAAATTGCTTCATGCACGCCAACCCATCACATTACTTCTTATGATTGCTCAAACATCATGCGCTTTATCACAGTCCAAGGAAATATGATTGCGATATTTATTGAGTGACAAGCTCCAAGTCGGATTACACCAGTTGGCTTCATGGTTTATGATCACAAGTAACTCCGAAGCTTTTTCCCCTGCGTAGCTGGAGCCTCGTATCTGAAAGAATTGAATATAAGCCCCAGTCTGTTTTTTTTCCTTCACGCACCAGCGACAGAATGCCATCTGCAACGGCATCGCGAACACCGGCCATCGCTCGGTGCCTTTGGCGTGGAACATGGGCTCAGCTTGTCTTACAATCGACAGTCCTCGTGCTGCTTCTAACTACGAGATTCGGGGCGGCCAGGCCCGCCTTCATAGACTACCTAGCTACAGACGAGGTATCCCCCAGGCAGGCAGCTGACACAACCCGCCTTGAAGGCTTGGATCTTCGGAGTTTGTGCGCCCGCACGCAGTCAGTAGAGATGCGGGTACTTTGTAAACTCACTCAGCCCGGAGACAGTTGGTCAGAAGTTGAAGAAAGGAAGCAACTCATTCATAAAAGATCAGGTAAGAATTGCAAGATTTTTTGAGGAAGAATGCGTGTTGCTTTTTCAATATTTCATGGCCAATTTTACCTTGCGATTTAATTTAACTGTAATAAATCACAGCCATTTTGCCTTCGTTGAGGAAAATGTATAAAAAGAAAAAGGTCCCGTGACAGCCGACGTAGTGCTAGTGATATTCCCGAATAATTTCGATGAATAAATAGCAATTGCACCGAAATTTAAGGAGACAAGCATAAAGATTATCACTTAAGTCAGTTATTTGACAGTACTGTTTCTCATTTGATTTCGAGTTTTGTGTTTTGAAATCTCCGCTGCGAGTGAGTTAAATACTTTTATACTGCGTCGATAAACTTAAAAACTAACACAAATTATTTCCTTCGCGCTTTTCCTTCCAAGAACGTCTCCCTGCACTTTATACCGAGAATAAGCAAGTGCGAAATGTGTTCAAACGTAAGATGCTCCACTTTCAGTTCACTTTTAAAAGCTCTTCCGTCTTCGAATCTTTCTCTCCCCTTTTTTGTTCATTTTACCTACACTTCACGGTCCAACTTGTTCAACTGACCTTAATTAATAGGCATGAGTGCTTTTGTTACTTCTTTCCGTCGTTGCCAGTTTCCACGGATGCTCTTATTGTTTTTCCTGCCGCCAAAATATCAGGAGGGACAAGGACGAGAAACTAAGCGAACTGAACTGATTCGATTTCAAAAAAGTTCCAACTGCATGATGGCATCACGGGTTGACTTCTGAACAAAGTTTCCTAACGGGCAAACCTGTTTTACTGTTTCCATACGATTAAAGATTGTCTGCATCTTGTATAAAATGAAACCCCAACATTACCAACAGTTCAGAAGGAGATTACACAATAGAGCTATGATTCCACCCAACAATAGGTTCAGGACTAATTTTCGCAAGCAGATAGTTCAGGAATGCCCAACAACTTGTCAAATCATGGTGAAATAGTTCACAAGAATGTTAATCGGTACTTCACGCTGTATGCCATGGGCTACCGGTCACTATGCGCACCTGCTCGGCTATAAGCACAGTCGGCTTAGCCCGGGGCAGGTTTGCCTTGTCTTGGTTAACAGACGCTACCGTAAATTCCAACCGACAATGGAGTTTGTAGCGCATTAAATGAGCCTGCGATGTTCGGAATGTCGAGTGGTGGCTTTTGTGGTTCCAGCGTCCACTATTCTGCTGTTCCGTAAGCATGGTTTTACCTGTCTGTAGCTGCACGTTCCATCCAGTGATGAGCGCGCTTTTCAAGAATTAACGGTTGTGTAACTGCAGCAAAACGACAATGAATTTGTCGGTGCAGTAACTCAGACTGTATATCGCGTTTTACCGGTTATCACGCGCACCTACTAAGGCCGGGACGGAGGATGATAGCCTTCCTGAAAAGAGCTAGTATATTTGTTTTTCAAACACTGAGAGAGAAGTGTGATTTTTAGGTCTGTTTTATTGCCCTTCTTGCAAAAGTCTGTGAAAAGCCCCAAAATGTAGCCTCATCCCTCAGAAAGGTCACAAAAGGTTACCGTGAAAGAAGTCCAAAATTTGCTCTTCCAAGAAAACCCAAGCCCCCCCCCCCCGAAAATTTGGTTTGGGGATCCACCTTGGCATCTGCTCGGATCACGGTTAAATGACTGTGACGTTAAACTCGCTCCTAAGCGGAAGAACACTGACTTTAAAACATTCATGCATTTCTAGGCATCCCTATTACATGCACTAGATATATTTTTATCATTCTATAAAGCCGTCAATCGATCATGAAAGGCTGTAATATTGCCATTACGTTCGTATAGGAAATGTGCAAAGGAAAAACGTGTCGTTACTTGCATGGCCAGAACTTAAATGTGGCCTCCAAGCATTGGAATTATTATATTACGCTTTGAACGCCAAAAAAGCCACGTTGATGGTTTGGTGTGCTTCCGTGGTTTCCATGGTGACGCCCTCGTCGGCTCTCTTTGATCATATAGTTTTGCCCATCATCTGCGCCAATCGCCGTTGCTAACTGCTATTGTCCTCTAGGATTTAATTAGGTCATCGATTGACTTCATTAACATCCAATTTATGAACACAATTTCCGCCGAGCATTAGACACATAAGTGCATCGTTAATATTGGCGAATTACGTCAATCCACGGTATCTCAGACCACTAAAACGACAGGTCAGTGACGGCCAAACTAACAGCCCACGCTCGTGACATTGACTTTTCTCGCAGTAACTGACAGCCCGATAGAGAAGTAGCATTTCTAACTCACAATATTTTCGTTTGGCGTCAAATTCTGCCTGCATTCACTGTTGAAATGGTGAAAGAACAAACAGAGATCACGTCTGGAATTATAACAGTCTGACTATACTGTAAAAGAAAGTCCTTTAATGAATAAATGAGCCCATCTCAACCTTGGTTTTTATTTTAAAAAACCTTCATACATGTACTTTCCTTTTTTTAACCTTTTCTGCGCATTATTGTGTGTTATTATATTGTGTTCTCTTGATACAACCTGTAAAAATTTAGTTATGGACATCAACCAAGCCCCAATGTTCTCTGGTGTACTGTTTAAATTACTGTTTCCCTCATCCGTCATAATTTGTGCGATCCAAATGAGACAAATATATAACAATCGAGGACTCCGTATAATGGTGTCATATTTCTTTTGAAAGCTGTTCTTCATTACACCGTGCGGTTTATTGATCTGTATACACTAAGCGATAACAGCTTTGTTTTTGCGAGGATCTTCTATCAGTCTGCCAGTCAATAATTAGCTCATTAAAATCCAGTCACGCAAGATAACTCTATATATTTTTGTACAGTGTGACGGTCTTATTGGTTTTTCCATTCACTTTCATGATTATTAAGTTTTGTATTTTTGTCACCAGTAGCTGCTGTTCAAAATTTTCCAGGTGATTATGGGCCACATATCTTTTCTGTTACGAACTCTTTTACTAACCACAGCTACGATTTTGAGGCTAGTTGCAGTCGCTTGTATGGTCTTGGCGATTCAGCAATCAATCTTCAAGTGAAAATCAGACGGTAATATCCGGGGCGCCAGACGCACGTTCGTCAAATTTGGCGACAGCGTTTAGAAGCGACTTTAAAGCTTCTCTCGTTTATTGTGTCGAATTCCTCAAAATCCTCTACACATTTTATTACATGTATTAGAAATTAAAATATTTACCAACGCGTAGTTCAAGGTAAGTAGCAGACCGGATGGAGGGCGGGCGGGCGGGGAGGGGACTGTAGGCCGGCCAACATTTATTGGGTCGTAAAACATGTTTACGAATACCGCGGAAGGTTGAACACCATACGAGGCATTATTGTTCGTGAAGCCATTCTCTTAAAATCATGAAAACGACCTCGCAAAATCCTTATATTCAGTCTTACTTGGTAAATTTCAGTTCCTAAAACATTAAGAATACATACAAAAATCTTCAACAACCACGCCAAAAATTTATAAAGAATTGAAGCCATTTACTTTTCAGACAACAATATTGCCTGGTCCTACAGAGAAGGAAACTGCACTTTTTGGTCCCTGTTGAGGCACATCAACGAAAAGGTCTTGTCTTTATACGCCAAGAAAATGATCAGAGAAAAAAATCAGACTTTCGTGCACTCTCGCTATTCAATCAACCGTCGATGAAAAATATTTTCAAAAATTATAACTCTGCCGCTGGAGCAGTCATAAACTTGAACTAGTCCTCCTTCGACTTTTTTGGAACACATTGGTTGGATCATAAGTTATGACGCAAATGACGCTATAGCGCTCACACTCAAATAACCAATTTTTTTCCTTCTCTAATTAGACCAGTAGCATAACCCGGATACTTGGCGCTATTTCTGTCAACAATTTGTGAAAGTAGTGAGCCGGCTGGAATTCAGCCATCTGGCCGTTCATGTCAGTAGCACTCTCCTCTTAAAGACCTTCTTCTGAGACTATTTTAAGATTATTCCCCTCTACAAATTTATCTCGCGAACAGAGTTATCCAACACAGTATAATCTATTTTTAGATGCTAATACAAGTGAACAACCTTCAGATTTATCACTTTCTCGGTGAGGAATATAAAAACAAGTCTAGCCAATAGTTTTAGCATGTCCGATTCTTTTGGAAAAGTCCACTTAATGTTTGGATTTTTCTTGTTATTGTGTTTTCCAGACGGTTCATCGTTGTCTGCTTTCCAGCGGTTGGTCAGCCACCTTCGAGCGGAAGCCCAGCAACGATCGGAGGCAAGGCAGAAACTACAGGACCTACGAGCCATGGGTGTTCTTGATGAGAACAACCAGATTATCAGTTTACCCGAAGACATGCGAGAAAACATGGAACGCCTAGGTTAACCACATCGAGTCAACGGCTGCACCAGGAAAACTACAAGGACATTTTGTCTTGTTTCTTTTAAAAAGGAGAGCTGGATGAGGAAAGAATGCGCATGATTATACAGGTTTAGAGTGCTTATTGGAAATGACTGTTCATGAATCTGATATTCTTTTGTCTTGAAGTGATTTTCCAGTTGAAACTTTGCTCGGAAGGGGTTTCAGAAACCACGACAAAACGATTTTTATCCCAGTAACAGTTGCTACTACACCAAGAGTGCGCGTGTCTTTTACGATTACAGCACACGCACAAACCGGAAATTGATTGGGCCACGTATTCTTTCTGTCGGAGAGCCTGAAATTACCTCAAGGTAAACAAGCTGGCCATTATCAGCCACCATATATAAAAAAATAAATATTTTCTTGTTATTTATTCTTAAGTTGTCATATTGACCAAGAAGAAATGATAGAAAGTTTATGTGAGATTCACGGGCGCTTTGAATTCGCTATTTATGTATATAGTGCACGGAGTGTCGTTTCCAAGGAAACAAATTGAAGCTTGCTCTATTTTTTCCAAAGCAGAATGTGAACGTATATTTTTAGCTTATGCATTGTCCTGACGCTTTCAGCTATTTTGTAGTAAGTTTGAGCATGATTCGTGAAGAGTAACTTGGAATCCTCGTCACGTTTTGATTTATACCTCAATAGTCTAAAGTGTAAGACCAATCACGCTGCACGAATGAATTATTTTGTGTGAAGCTTTGGCGTAATGCAGGAGCGTTCAACCGAAATACCAAGTCTTGCTTTTTGGAACCAACTTGAAAAACCGGGTTTCAATTTTACCCAAATGCTGTGTTGCGGGAATTCAGTGTTCACAGTCTTCGAATTTATTTCTGAAGGTTTGATTGCAGAATGCTTCGTCCAGAAATGTTTGGCATTGGAGATTGGGTGGGTTGCTAACAAGGGAACATCACGTCATTACGATGTACGCACGCAAAGCCCATTATCGGTTCCATTGTTTGCTCTCTGTGACTTTGCACTAATTTCACTTGGCCTTTCTTGACAATAAAAACCAATTAGCGCTCACTTAGATCATCCCCAAAAGAAAGACAGTCACTATAAGAATAATGTATTCATGTATAAAATGGCATGTGGGTAAGCGACGAGGACATCTGACAGTAAACAGTCGTTGTTTTATTATTAATATTGTAAATACATTAACGCCAAAATCTGATATATTATATGTTCGTTTTATCTGCAGGATCATGTAAAAATTATAATTATCATTATTATTATATGGACTGATGTGATCGGTTGTTATATTTTATTTATCTCTTCCTTTGTATTTCTGCTGCTCCATTTAGGCCTACCGCCAGAGAGTTATCAATCTTGCGGTGCATTTGTTCGGGATGTTTACTGGTGTTTTAATTGATCATTCCAAAACACAGAAAAACGCCAGATAAATATCCACTCACGAAATGTTTTGATCTTTCCGCTATGGTTGCTTGTGGATTTAGTTTTGTTTTACTAGACCGGCTTTTGTGTGCACGTTTGAGAAAAGAGCAGTTCCAGCCCAAACAATGAGAAGTTTGGAATTGATTTGTTGGTCTATATCAAATCACCCAGGTTTTAGAGGTCATTCCAACCCTTATTTCGAAAATGAAACAGTTTATCTGGATTTTCCCAGGTATCTTGCCCACCTGTGTGAGGTATGTTTTATGAAAACATTAACAGTCGCACTATAATGCATACTAAAACTACTAGTTCAACAGCGCACTGCATGATTGTGCTTGATGCGTTATGGCTCAGTTTTTTAGTTTATGGCCAGAAGTATAATAGACTTAGCACGAGTCTGCGGTTGGGCGTATGGCTTCCACAGACTTGCATGTTATACACACAGACATAGCCGTAACATATTGGGACACAGTCTTGGTCCATTATAACGTCACTGATATTGTGTGCATAGGAAACGGAATGAGCACTTTGCACAATGAGAAATATCTAGAGTTGTTTACTTTTACTTTTGAAAATGTTGACTGACTACATGTATTTGAAAATGGATTCAATGACACATGACGCCAAGTAAAATAGTACTGACTGTGTTTTCGCTATATAGTATGCCAACAGAAAAGAACTCGTGGTACAACTGTCTGCCAAATTATTGAAGAAAAACATGCTGTAGTTGTAAAATTATTCATTTAGTTTGCAAGGCAGACCGACCAATTTAAGCGAGACAGTGTAGGCACATATATCGATGCCGCACATTTGGCGCCAAAATGTTGGTTTCTCTTATTTCTCTTAGATACTTGAGCTCTAAAGTACGGCGTCCCGTTTTGTGCGTCGTACCGTCAGGCAAGGTTACTTTAGGGTCTACCGTTGGCTAGGGTTGATAGACACTGCCATGTAGACCTTTGAGAGAGTCGACCGGACCGTCTTCATGAACTTAGAATAATCCCCAAACAGCGAAGAAAACAGCTATGTCTATTTGCAAACGAGTCGCATTGTGGAAACTCAATACCTTAATGGAATTACCTTTGTAACGAATATCGAAAGATGCTTGGAGCTTGGCTGTCACTGATGATGTCACGGAGGACTGTCGATGGATAAAAAGAAGTGAGAGAAAAAATGCACGACCTGTGCGATATCGACAAATGGCTCGAAAACCAAAACCGGTTAAATGATGATGCACAGTTTGCATGCATAGGGACGTACCTTGCGGAATCAAGTCTGGGCGGTTGTGACTGTAAACAGTTCCGTCGTGGAGGTTTTCTCTGGCAGGGCAGAGCCGGCTAACACGTTTAACTATAGCAAATTGCATTAATTTCGACATGTCCGTGCCATCCGATCTTGGCAGCCGGCGTCCTGCCGTGTCTTACGAGCGGTGCACTTTCACCGACTCGCCCGATTGATCTGGGGTGTTCCGGGACAATTTCCCCTAGAAAATTGTCGGTCTTTAAAAGTGCAATTCCGCCAATGATGTGTGGTCAAATTCTTCAGTGTCTCTCGTTTCAATCTATCCGCGTCAGGTTGTGCTTTGAAATGGTCGCTGGCAGCTCAACAGTTGAAACGGCATGCCTATTGACCTAGTAATTCTGTTCTCTTTTCCTTTTTCGGTCGAGAAAAAAAGCCAACGTGTTCGCTGTCCAATACCGGTACGTAAATTTGCTGAAGTGGTTAAGTGAGCACTGCCTCTAGGCAAGCCGTCAAGTGCATTGAAAGATTGGGTTTTAGAAAGTAAATGATTTGAATTGGTAGAGCTCTCCTTATAGATTGTATAATGTAGACTCAGACTGTCATGACAAATCGGCAAAAGTCGCAAATAATCAAAAGAGTTCAGCCTCACTATTATGAGGCTGTTTAAGTTTGTGACGCTGTTTAGGCCGACTTGTGACAATGACAGCCATTACGACTTCATGAAAGCCAAGTTGACTGCTTATAAACAATTCAGTCGTTATGCCAAGTACTTCAAAAAGAAATCAAGGCATTTGTGCAGAAGAATATAGTAATATTGTTAGAAAAATAAAACACTTAGCATCTGAAATAATTTGAACTTGGACTTGTGTTGCCTACAATTGTTATTTTGTCTGCCCACTGTGAGTGTTATACTATGTTTGTTTGTTTGTCCCTACGAGTCTGTTGATCCGTCTCCCTGTACGGTATCTACAGAAAAAGATTACCGCAGCTGCAAGCGGTTGCTTCGAGTTTGGGTCGCCTATGCCGAACCTGACATTTCGATCGTTTCGATCTCAACGTCATTCGGCCTCGTTTCTTCAAATGATGTCAGCCTCCTCCGAGTAAGATTCCGATGAATTACAAACATCAGAACGCCTTTCATCCAGAGATTGAAGACTTTGGTTAGTATGTCGGGCGGTCGATTATGGTAAGCTTGCGTGTCCCAGGTTGCGCCGCATGAAATCCAAACATTGTGTTCGATCAATCTAAAAAATTAACAATCATGTCGAACGGATTGTAATCTTGTTCCTTTACACAACTTAGTGAATGACGACAATTTAAATTGTTGATTTAAACTCCAGCCACTTTCCTGAAGCAGCAAGGATATCGGTGCTTTTAATTGTCCGGTATTTAGGCTTAAAACACCCGCAGTGTCCGGTGACAGTAGGATATACTTGACAGAGATGTCCGGTTGTCCGGATATAAACTGACCATTGGAAGGGAAAGGTGGGATGAGAGGGAACTATTAGTACCAGAATGACCAGACAGAATGATTTCCGCGTCTATCTTGGCACGCTAGGTAGATTCAAAAGGCTCCAGATTGGTTACCTGCCCTGTTCAAGTTTATGTAACCGAACAATTCTATAGATTTAATTGGACACACCCATCAGAATTAACCGTCGATAGTGAACACGGCTACTACTATAGAGTCGGAATTTCAAAATAGGTTTAAACTGGCTAGATTTCTTGATAAAATGTCCTTTAGTGTAACTTGTTTTCAGCGAACAAGTAAAGTTGCTGAACTTCCGACAATTTGAAGTTGCAGTGGGCAAGTTTCCTCTCATCTAGTGACATTTTGTCATCTACCCCGGGGGATTGGACAAGCTGAAGATGACCACCGCGTGGGCTGTGAAGATATTGCATCCGTTTTCCGGATACCATATTGCATCATTTTATTTTTGTCTCTCCAAGGCGGACTCTGATTGCAAGCATCTGTTTTTATTGTTTCCTCCGGCGCTGTAATACACGCAAGTACGCATGCAACCCCTTTACGAAAAACTAATATGGATAACACGCATGCCTTGCCTCAGAGTCATGAGTTGTGCCAAATCTCCTAGAGTACTACAGAGCGAGAAAATATATTTATTCTTCTGTGATCCAAATAATGTCATTTACATATGGACTGTCTCCGGCCTTTCACTTCATTGGTTTTCATAACTTCATCAATAGTTTAGTTCCCTCTTTCAATCCGTCAGATTTTCCAAAATAAAAATCAAGTTTGTTTGTTTTACACGCCATTACACGCATCCATTTTATCGAAGAGTTCTATTCCCTCAACTGATACTGCTGCCACGCCCACGCCAGATACCTACGTTTAAAATTGTCTCCGTACAACAGAGACGACGATCAGAGCAGACTGTCCGAAACGTTGAGTATCAGTGGTTCTTTTCACCGGTTCTTTTGCATGCTCAAAAAGAGATATATCCATGGTTCTACCACAAACCTCTTTAGTTTATTTCACCTAATGAATTAACGCCTTCACGATGTAAAAGTATCCAGACGGGGTGAAACCTGTTTTGTTTGGCGTTCCATACTGCATCTTTTTCAAAAAGGGAAACACATATATACGTAAACCTATACACCATTACACAAATATCTTCTAACTTTGAAATTTATACAACTTCATCTTCAGGCAATTTCAAGGTCCATGATGACATGTTAAACAACCGACCAATTTTGTTTAGTTCCTATTTTATGAGTTTTCTGTGTCTAGGGCATGCCATTCACCGGGTCTGAATCCAAAATAAATCCCACATTTGGAATTAGGATCCCTTGATTTACACGAAATGTGTCATATTTCAAAGTCACTGTAAACTGAGACGTGTCACAATAAAACTTGATATATTTCTTACCCGTTTATTATTTCCCACACCCGTGAAAAATAAACATCATTCGACGCTCCCTTCATTTCACTCTATTTCCTATTTCTGTAAATTTTTTTCACATTTTACAATGCGGTTGTCCCCTCATAAACAAGCTCAGGAGAAGATTCATTTTTGTACGGAAAAAACCACCTTTGACAAGTACTAATAATTGTGTTCCAGTTGTTCTTCCCCCGAGGCAAAAAGTTATTTTAATCTAACTTTCCAAAAGAAGAGTTCCAACTGTTCCAATATCATACAAAGCTCACATTTCGACGTTTCATTTAGCTGAAATGGAATATACCCGCGTTAATTTCGCCCCTCCAATAAGGCCCATGAAGCAACGCTATCTTCAAATCAATCAAGCAAAACCAAATAATCAAAAATCACCTTGAACTGACCTAAGGAAAGCATACGCATTGTTATGACGTCATATTCTGTTGTCAATATCACTCAGTATGATTAGCTGTGACGTCACATTATACCATTTGATTAAATGAGATTATTAATTCTGGGTCCGTATTGAACAACATAAGTTTTAATACCTCACGCTACAACAACGTCTGTGTGGAAGGACTTGTGATACGTGATTGAGCATATGCGAGATCATAATGTAAATTTCCTGATGTTTCTGTTGATGTGATTCGAATCTGCCAAGAAAATATATTGCGGGTCACTTCAACATTGCAACGGGAAAATGAAACAGTCAGTGAATTGTGTGGAATGTAGCGTATTTCCCTGGTTGATTTTAGAATGAAAAAAATTCCCCACAAACGTTGTACGTCAAGTTTAAATTTCGGCTACAGTCAGTACTGATGAAAACAGACTCCATTACAAGCAATCCCCAGATAGTTAATTTAAGCAGTGCTCGGTACACAGACGACACCAGTTGGGACTGAGACGATGTGGAGTGATTCCAAACTTGAGAAGGAAAACAAAAGGAACTTGAGTCCTTCTCTAGCCTGAACTTGATGGAGAATTGCCTTGCTAACCATTATCTCTAATCCGAACACAAAATAAAGTCAGTTTCTACGTTCGCGCACGCAGTCAGTGTTAGGCGAAGCCGCTGATATAATCCATAGAAGGGTTAGAGTCTTGTTCACAGTAGCCATTATTTCAATTCACTGGACGTTCGCCCTACATACCCGTTTGGCCTACATATCCGTTCGGCCTTTCTGACCATTAATTTTCTCCTACCCCTATCTTCCGCGATCACAATGAAGAGAAATTGACTTCCTTTCTAGAATGAAGATTAATACTCGCATCATTAGTCAAGCCAAACTTCCGTATTTGTGCGCCACTGATGATCATAATAATTATAATATTGTCATTTATTTCATAATTGGCACTGAGCCAAAGAACCTTGCACGATTTTTATTAGAAGCGCAGTGTTTAGATATAAAGGAGGGCGCATATTGAAGTCACAGTGGGCGGTACATTACACGCAGTATGTGTACATTTCTTCTTCTGCAACCATTCGTTATATTAAATTGGTGTCTTTGCTACCGTGTGATCCAGTTGAAGACTATCCGTCGACTACCAGGTCGATAAATGTTTCCTTTATTTTGTTTGATGATTTGTCTGCATGTTGTAAGTAAGATTTTTGTGGCAGAAAAATAATAAAAACTCTATTTAGACAGTAGTAACTTAATGAAAAGTGGTGGTTGTGCAAACGAGAAATCATAGCACTTTTTATGAGGATAATAAGGAAACTTCACCCCGCCTCTATAGAAGATACGCAAAGGAAAGTAATTGCTTCGTCCATTGATTGTCACGGCAACTACTATCGCTTCACTCTCTCCATTAAAATTCCTCACACTATCTGTTACCCTCTCTCAAGGCTACACACTCCAGCACGGGAAAAATCTCGTCTATCTAGCGATCCTAGAATAGCGATCTGTATAGAATGCCTGGAGCTGGGGTGCAAGTCCTGGACAGTTATGCTGTGGGTACGAATTCTCTCCTTTTTGTAGGTGCTAGGGCCTAATTATTATTTTTTAAAATAGGATTTCCGTTGGAGGGTGGCGCGGCATGGCTTTGATAGTTTTGTGTAAACTCCCAAACTATTCTCGGAATTCATTTCCGGTCGACTGGACAAGCTTAGCTGGAATGTGCTGGGGGTATTCTGCTATCGATAAACAATAAACAAATTTGATGAGTAAGTCGGTTTCTGTTCAGCTGGAAAGCAGAATAAAGCCGCTTAGTATCTTGATAGGAATATGAAAAGAAGCAACAGAGGGCGCTGTTCAATTTTTTCGTCTTTACAGTTATGTAGACAGAAAACAGTCGTCTACTTGTCTAAACTTTCTATTTTACAGGCACTCGTGGTGGCGCCATCAATCACGTTTCGCACGGGGTGTTCTCCCGATGCACTGCTTGGTACTGCTTGTTTTTGCACAGAAACATATTTCTTAAGGTAAGCCCTAAATCTGAATGTTAATATCTAAACGCTCAGAGCCTCTGAGGATTTTTTATCATTTTTATGTTATGTCATCGGCCTAGCTAGTTAGTTACCCGTGGCCCCGTCATCGATGAATGATCATTTTGCAATGCATCATGCTACTTGCCAGATTAACTTTTTATTAGGCCTAAATCGCTGAGTCACGACCGTGTATTAATCTCTTTATGTCGATGTATTTACACCTACAGGTTGTCTTGCATTTAGGATGAATAGGCCCTATATGTAGTTTCAATCATGAATGCAGATATTCATGCACTGTGTGAGAAATTGATTCCAGTCACCTACGTGCAGCAGGGTCGAGAAGCCAGACGGGCACATGAGAAGAAGGTAAAGTAGGCCTTGGCCTACTCCCACTTTACCATGATTACAGGCTTCATGCAACTCAAGTTTGACTACATAGGGCATTTTACCTCAAGTGTGATCCTACATGTCATAGGGTGTAGGCCCTAGTTTGAAAAATAAATCAGCGTGGTCAGACATGTGACATATCACAGTGTTTTGTGCCTGTATGCATGTGACTTGTTACATCAGACTGGTGTCAGGTGTAACAATAGTGCAAGCAACAATATAAGAACTTGTCCTGTCAAATAATTCCTCATATTGGCCTCATGTAATTTTGACCCAAACTTTAGTCACCAGCAAGCAATTATTGATCGTGTTTATATTCAATTGTAATCATCATTTTGATACACGGAGCCTACCTTGGTGTTTTCATACATGCATAATTATATGATCCGTACAATGTAAATAGTTGACACAAACTTTGACCTAAAGTGTTCCCAAAATCAGATTACATTTTACAGGCGTAGTTTACAATTAAAATGAATGCCAGACTGCGTCAATCAAAACGTCAAAGCTCTAAAAGGGGCGGTTCCATTCAAACATTTGGGTAAATCCATAATCAGATTTGGAACTCTTTTCATTAAAACTTGTAAACATCCCATCCTAACTTTTGATGCCCACAAACCCAGATTGTTCTCAGCCCTTTTAGCTTTCAGTGCACATTTTAAAAGTGTAGAGGGCGCTGTTCATTTGCCGCAGATACGGAACCTCCTGGAGCATCGGAAGTGGCCAGAAGATGGTTGGGATGATGCGACCATTGAACTACTCCTGCAAGAACTGAGTGCAATGGATAGTAATAACTTCATGGCAAACTGTGGCGTTGGTGAGCGAGAGGCAAGAATTGCATCCTCCCTGGTTGCTAGGCGACACTTCAGGTGGGCGTGTCTCCAGGTTGTGAAGGGAGGATGAGAGGGTTGAGATTAACATGGACTACTGTGGAAGAATGTTCACAAAGATCCAGGATGCAGGCAAACACATGCATTATATGTATGCAACACTCATTTGCCTTGTCCACAGAAAAGCTATGGATAAATCTTAAGGTTGAAATGGTCAGCTACCAATAGTTCTCATTGAACTTTGAACTTTGCTGAACCGCCCTTGCTGTGATGACTGATCTGAAGTGTGCAAGATCTGGAGCTCAACAACGTGAAGCATGCCTCAATATTTTAATTGTGGTTATGTGTCCATAAGCAAGACTGTTTATTACAATTGCCTCCAGAGTCACCCTGAGAACAGGGTTGTTTATTTGTAGAATTCTTGTTTCACAAGCTCTTTCAAGAAAATGAAATGCTACTCAAGCTTGTTTTCAACCAGGTTGCAGTCAATCCAAGCACATTAATTCTCTTATGACTTAGAATCACCTGTTTGGCTCCAATTACAAGGAGTTTTTGTATTTTGGTCATCTTGTTTCAGACTAGGTCACGGGATTGGCCGGTCAGGGGATATTGCGGCCATTCAGCCCAAGGCTGCCGGATCCAGCATTATCATGAAACTGACCAATGCTATGGCACTTGACGCTATGAAAATGGCAGGTAAAAGTTGTTCTTTCATGCACCTTGTTTCATGTCCTGTGTTCCTGCAAACTTGCTTGCTGTTCTGTCTAGATGTACTGTTGCATACATCCGCATCTCCAGAATGTCATGTAAAATAGAATTCTCATGAACACGAGCATACACTGAAGCTCACACATTTTGAGACACTCGTAGAAAACAGTGAAGTTGTAGGTTTCAGGAGCAGATAGGAACTGCAGAACTGGTCTGTTGTAGTCCAAGATGGGATTTGAATCTGATCACAAGGGTAGTAGATTGAGTGAATGAGTCATTTTTAATCCAAAGTTCTTTGGCTTGTGAATACCCAGTAGAGTTGCCATAATGGGTTGATAGATTTTTAATTGGGACTTTTTTCCGGCATCAGGTGTTCGTTCTACGGCTGCATGTTTTGTCGTTCCTCTGGCTACTGGAATGAGTCTTGTTCTTTGTTTCCTTGCTCTTCGTCAACTTCGTCCCAGTGCCAAGTATATCATCTGGACTCGCATCGACCAGAAGACTTGTTTCAAGTCTATACTCACAGCTGGACTCCAGCCAATCATCATTGAGAATTGCCTGGAAGGTGACGAATTGAGGACAGATGTTCGGGAGATTGAACGGCAAATCCAGGAACGTGGAGCAGAGAACATCCTGTGTGTGTTCTCAACAACATCTTGCTTTGCACCAAGAGTCCCCGATCGATTAGAAGAAATTGCAAAATTATGCAAAGACAGTGGTGTGGGACACGTCGTTAACAATGCTTATGGTGTGCAGTCTTCAAAATGTATGCATCTAATTCAGCAAGCAGCACGTGTGGGTAGAGTGGATGCTTTTGTCCAAAGTACAGACAAAAACTTCCTTGTTCCTGTTGGTGGGTCCATCATTGCTGGAACTGATGAGAAATTTGTGGACAAGATTGCTCAGACATTTCCTGGCCGTGCATCTGCATCACCCACCATCGACCTCTTTATCACATTTCTTTCCCTCGGAGCCGAGGGTTATAAGAAACTTCTCAAGGAGCGAAAGGAGATGTACTCTTATCTCCAGGATGAACTCAAGACGGTTGCAGAAGGACATGGGGAGCGGTTGCTGAGAATGCCCCATAATCCTATCTCCATGGCAATGACCTTGGGTCTACAGTTAGAGGATGATAGGAAGGAGGTGTCAGAGGTGGGATCAATGCTGTTCAAGAGAAATGTTTCAGGAGCAAGGCAAGTGCCAATTGTTAAAAAGCTATTGAACAATATTTAAAGTTCATAATTTACATTTCGTTCATGTGAAGAAGTATGATATTCCTGATTCAGGATATTCCATTTGCTGGTCCTCGGTGATCCGTCCATTGTCATCGGGAGTAACTGCCTGTGCTCAGTTTATGAGAGTTTTTATACTGTAGGAACAATAGGGAAGACAATGACCTCTCCTTAAAAGCAAAACACAACTATTTACATACTGTGTTGGCATCGTGTTCACATTTTGTTTGTCTTTTGCTTTGTAGAGTGGTTCCAAGGGGTGTCACTAAGACCATCGGTGGCTATGATTTCACTGGCTATGGCTCACACTGCAATGATTACCCTACTGGTTACCTGACAGTAGCTGCAGCCATTGGGATTACTAAAGAAGATGTGGATTTGTTTGTCAAGCGGCTGGACAAAGTGTTATCGAAGAAACAAGACAAGAAGACCAAGGTTGAAGGGTCTGAGGACATGAAGACCAAGGTCGAAGGGTTTGAGGACATGAAGACAAAGGTTGAAGGATCTGGAGACATGAATCATGCTTGATGGAAGGATGTCCTAAAAGCTTCCAGGCAAATTGAAATGAAGTTAAAAAATTATTTCAAGTTCATCGAAGATTTTATCTTAATATGCAACAAATGCAATCAGAATGATGTGGAGAGGACGGAGTCAATTTCTGGAGAGGTTTTTCAAAGCAATAGAGATATGCTCAAATGAAGAGTTGTAATGGAGTACGTAATTTACATAATATACTACATGTCTACATTGTTCATGTACTACAACTCATCTACTCAAATGTGACAAAACAATTACTACAACCCTTAGGATGTTCCAGGAATATTTTAAGGAGTTAGGTATGCGAAAGTAAGTGTCAAACTGAATGTAATATGCTTTCTTTCAAAATGTACGCTTACCAAGAGGTTTTTGTCAAGGCAACACCGAAATTGGTCTTGTAATTACAGTTTTGTCATTATATGATGTTTTTCAGTTGTTAACTTGAACTGGAGTAAACTGGATTCGAAGTACAGACTCAAAGGAATGCCAGTCAGTCAAGATGAAGCGTTCGATGGTTTTATAAAAACCAAGCTTTATTACTGCAATACTGAGAATGACAGAAAATGGTTCTACTAAGACATCTATCCTTGTACGCTCACATACAGTAGTCTCATTACAATCATGTTCCATGTCAGCTCACCAACATAATGAAAGGTTTTAATATGATAATCTCCTATTTTGTCACGGTTCATTTAAAGAAGCTTCAGACATAAATTGGATGATTTGTAAATGATACTTAATACTTGTCATATTGGAAATAATGAAAAATACCATGAAATATTGCTTTTGCGTCCCATGTTTTTTGTCAGTTTATTAGACTATCAGAGCTTATTCAGTATAGCTGCTCAAGACATCGTTTCTTGCAAAAGATTACAGACAAGATGGAGCCTCTGTCTTGTATTTGGGTCAGCGCTGATTGATGTCAGGAAAGTGCCAGTGATTTGGGCTACATCTGCTGGCCAGAATTTTTGTCCTGCATTGGTCAGAAGCAAAAAAAAAAAAGAATCAAAAACAATTTGGGCAAAGACCAATGTCTTTTTATTGGCCAAGTACAAGGTTATGTGTCAATAGAGACTTGGTTTTATGTCTTTCAATCTTGTTATAAGGCTCTACGATTTTGACAGATTGGGGGTGCGTAGAGTTGGTAATGTTACCTGCTAAGCGTTCCGTCAACTCCTGTATAAGTCTTGTATCCAGCCAACCATGTGGTGCTTGTAAGATCACTCCTGATATGTGGGCATGGTTCACATGGACTAACACGGACACCTCATCATGGGATCTTTTTACGCTGAACTGTGGTGTTTTCCCATACAGCCAGTCCCAACTCTGTTGAAAGAATCGAGGTTTTTCAAAGGAAACATTTGTCTTTTGGAAGTCACATGGGAATTTCATGTTTGCAGAACTCTCAAAAATCAAGTGCAGGGTATAAAACTGAAAATTTAAAAAAGGATTAACAGTGTGATAAAAAATTTAGTACAACTTTAATTCTGTAATCTGTCAGAAATCAGTGGGTGCTTGACAGTCGATTGAAAACACTGCTAGCTCATGATACTAAGGTTTTAGTTCATTCCTAATTCACCTTGAATGCTGACAAAATCCTGGATTTTCGTACTTTTTACTGTACATTATTTGCCTGTACTTTAATATGCAAATTGGAAGGCTATGGAACTCACAGTAAGTTCTTCTCTGCTTGAAAGAACTCCAGGCCAATCTAGTTCAGAAGATGGATCGACTGGGTAAACCTGACAAAAGTATAAGGAAATATCATTAAACTGATTAGCCAAATGTTTCTACAGAAAAAAGTCTGATTTGCGTGAATATGCAAGGAAATATGCAAGAAAAGATGTCAACTTTTATTGGTTTATCATATTGAGGTTTGATATTACTTTGAATATTATGTTCAATTTTTATTCCAATAAGGAATGTAGGATTAAAGGTTTTTGCAATGATTTCTGTGATACATGCCTTTTTTTCATGTAATGGATGGTACTGTGAGTAGAATTTCTCAGCTATGACTTTGACCAGGGTTGAGTATCTTATAGTTGCATCAATATTGGATAGATTCTTGACTGCAGATTGTACACTCTTGGTGGCTCTGTTGGTCATTCCTTCCTAAAAGTTGATAACAAAAAGAAACATGAACATATTTAGCCACGCTTGGTTAAATTCTCCAGTGAGAACAAATACCTGGAGCAAAGCTGGAAAAAATATCAACTTGATATTTCTAGAACTGCGTAACACCTATTTGGAGATATATTTCTATTTGATTCAAATATCTAATGAGCCAACAAAATCAATCATGCGAATGGTTTAATGGGAGTTTTCAACTAAGTTTTTCTTTCCTATAACCTTGATGAGGAGAATCTTTGGAAAGACTGCAGGACCACTGTTTCTTCAAAGCTGAAACAAACTTCCACCAGCTTTATAACTTCCATGCTTTTCTAAATTATACCCTTTTCTTCATTGAAAAAATTTCTTATGCCTGTTAGGACAAGATGCTTGACGAAGATTGAGCAATGGGAAAATATCTGTAGCCTTCACCTTTTCAGAGTGTAGGAGTAACTTGAGTTCAGACGTGTTCACACTATGTAGTAGAGTACAGTGATGATAAGCTATCTGACGTCCCAACTTGGAAGATGAACCTGACACCTGGCAGAGTTAAAGAAATGGGACAAGACAGTGGTAGACACACTTTCCCCTGAATGCATTTCCTTCTCACTTGAATATTCACAGAAATTGAAACTTGTCTGGAAAACCAACCAGGGTCTTGGACAGGACAGAAGTCTGCGTCATGTGATCTGTGACCTGAAAGGGCAGGTATTTGCTCTTTACATGGTGCCACCATAGGCATGCAGAGCCAAGATCTGGCAGCTTTACATACTGAATATAGCCATATGTGTATGTTGCTTAGTAATTTTGTAGGTGCTGCATTAGTTCTTATATTATGCAATTTGACAGTAAGCTGCATTGACGCAACTCTGACACAATAATACAAACTGCCAGTTTGAGGTTCCGCATGCCTACAGCGGCAGCGTGCAAAGAGTGAATTACTCTCCATTGCATTGCTGAAGTGAACTGAAATCTATGCTCTTATTACATGAACCTGAATCCATTTCTTCCCAGGCAAACGCACAGCTCCACATGCCTGACTGTTTGAAAAAGGTCAAGTAGTCAAACTAAGCCATTCACCTCAGTTCCACTTATTGTCAACATTGCCACCACCATAAATACAACTTGAGATTTGTACACTGATTGCGATGGACGACGCACACAAAGGATACTTTGTAAAAGTTGTCAAGCAGAATGTCGTCCCGACATGACACAGTCACATTCAACCCTGGCCATCGGGACTTGAGTGCGTTGGTTATAAGCTCCAAGTTTCCTTTTCGCAGGTAATGCTTCCTATTGGTGAAAAACGTGCAATTGAGATTGCCCAAATCCTGGGGATGGATGAACAAAGGAGAACAATTAAGACTCAGGGAGAGAAAATGCTTAAAAAAATACAAAGCTTTGTGGTGACACAGACTTTATGGAAACGCTACTCACATGGTAAACAGTGCCGCCACCACTTCGTCTCCTTGCTAGCTTGACCTTTGACCCCCAGAGCTGCCTGAGTTGACACTCAGCCCAAGGATTCTGGTGCCGACCAATCACAACACAAGGATCATTACGCCACAGTAGTAGCAGATTAGTTTGACTTAAATCCAGGTTGTTATAAACCCTGTTTAGGATAAAAAGCAAACGTAAAATGATTACTTTCTAAGAGGTTTCTATTAATTGTTAACTGACAAAAAAGGATTTATGGAGAATCTATAGTTACAGTACATGTAATTTGAGGCATATATGTTATATTTAATTCCAAAGGGTATAACATTGAACTTTTTGGAGGTTTGAGTTGGGGTTGAAAGATGGTGGATGAGATTGGGATTGGCAGTTGGGAATGGATGGTAAGGATCAGGTTGGCTTTTATCACTAGACACGTTGTTAATTTATTTCCATAACAATCTTCACTACCTCATAGATACATATTTAGAAAACTCCAGTTTTGCCCTTTGGAAGCAAGACTGATTGTTGTTACTCGATGTGTGGTTCTTACCAATCTTCAAATGCTAAGTTGGTGAAGATATCATTGGAAACCGATTCATAGACAACACCCATCTACAAATGACAGAAAAACAGTGACACATGATTATTGTACAATATAATATGATTATATTATATAAGCCAGTTATTTATTGCTTATAGTTATACCGCATGGCTGATTTTGTCCGAACTGTGGAAAGGCACTATTGGAAGGGAAATAGTTCCTTTATACTACTATACAAAATCACTCTTGCAGTATTAGCAATAAGGCTTATCAGCTTATGGACACAGAAGAAGACTTATCATGCTAATGTAACATAATGACTAAGCACATGTATTGACACTGACCTGTTGTACTGCAGTGCAGAATTGCCTGGACAAGTACGAGATCCGACTCCGACATATCCCGCATTTCGACTCTCCTTGGATAAGACTGACACATCGGAAAAGTTTTCCGAATATGCTCCGCTGACACATCGCATTAATACCCACATGCATTCGATATTCAAATGTGCACGGCTCGAAGTCCAACTTCCAAGTTTGAAGTAGGCCTATCCAAGTCAAAGTTTCAACGCTGCTTGCCAATAGTTATTTCCAAATTAAGCACAAATGGATCAATGGATGTCTCAATTAGATTACGTAATAAATATGTACAGTGGATCCTATTACGTTAAACTAAGGCAGAATAGAAACTACACGTAGGGCCTACTTATTTCATGAAGCGGCATCAAGCACGTTACCTTGTAGAAACTACAAGGGCGCTGCCATGACAGGAGCGTTCAGTAACTGTAATAAGATAATGACACAAATTCCAACAATAATATGCTTAAAAGTGAAATTTTGACTTTTGAATGCAATATTCAAGATGAAATAATTATTATAAAGGAAACTGTAGTTAAAAAATTAAACTTGAGCTGATTTTTTAATCAGTTTTATTATATAATTTCGAAAATAAGGTCAAGGGTCAAAAAGCACAACTAAACAAGAGGAGCGCGGTGAACTGAACTGCCCAATATTGTAAGAAATAAAGCGTTCATTTATTCCCTAGAGATCTGTGATATCTTCACCAAGGTATACCAATGATGACCTCATCAATACCAGGCGTAAATTTAAGCACTTTAGCCTCAAGCAGCGCTCCAAGTTTGCAGGAGTTTGTTCTTCAAGGTAGTGTTGTTGACTCTGCTTGCGAGGCGATGCGCCATCGTTTGCGAGCCCTGTGTGATAACGTGGATCGTGCACCGGAGACATTCCATGACCATGAACTGGTGTATTTATTGCGGACAAGTATGTACCAAAAGCCATAAGCAAATGAATGCTCTTTCAATCACTCTTTTGTTTTCCTTTTGGAGTGTACGTTTAGCTGTTTTGTTCAGCATGTTGAGGCATATCATTATCAGGATTGCAAATTGGCAGTCATGGCAGTGCGTAGTATGTCACGCCCCAAATAGGCCTATAGCATCTGTAGTGCTGCAGTTGGGCTGGCCCAACTATCGTTGTCCAACTTAAGAAATTATCTCAACCTTATCCAGACACAATTCACGTAATATACGGCACTTCATCTATGACATTGACATTGTAAACAATCAGACTTTGGCACACGCTGCCACTGCTGGGCACATGCACACTGGACCTCTGTGCTGTAGTTGGGATGGGCCCAACCATAGCACTCTAGTTGGGCTGGCCCAACCATAGCACTCCAGTTGGAATGGGCCCAACCATAGCACTCTAGTTGGGATGGGCCCAACTCTAGTTGGGACTGATGTAATAGTTAGGGCGTAACAATATCAACAATTCTCATACTTCTGGACACAAAATGTTGTCACATAGCATGCATGACGGTATAGTTGCCCGGTCTCTTATTTCGCCACTAACCATATAAACCAATGAGACTTGACAATAGGTGGCAAAATTAGGGACCTGTCGACTTAACGGTCACATTCGTTGCAGTTGACACAAACAGGTCACATACAGAACATGCATGAAAACAATGGAGGAGTTACTAATTGTTGAATTGGCATGAACGGAATGGAATCAGCTATCATCTACTGAAAGCTACCGTAGTTTCTTTGACAAAAACGTAGGAATTCGCCGCCTAGCTGCTTAACTGCTATGTTTTGGGCTTATCAGCTTACAAGATAATATCTGTGCTTTAATGGTTCTATTTTAAAGGTGGTCCAGGAAATCCTGTAGTACTACGAGCGAGACATGCTCTAGACCAGCCCAATATGCCGTGGTAGGTGACCAAACTAGCCTACTGCCTGTCTGTGCTAAATAGGTTTTACAGGAATAGTTAAACTATTACGGACGGCAGAAGTTACCTCTTATTCGTCAGGAACTTTTTTTTTCATCATTTATCACACGTAAATATCCAGCCTTTCTGACTTAAGAACCATTCGGTATCAACAAAACAGGTCTGGGTACTACATGAATTTTTCAAAGTCACTGAATCTCAATGTTTGCTTATCTGTTGGACTCAGGTATTCCAGCTTGAAAGGTAGCTGATTAATCTTTCTTGAGTACTTGTATATATTTTCCCATTTGTTGTCAATTGCCCAAAGTTTGAATCAAATTTTATATCCATTTTTCTCTTTTTATTTCTGCCCTGTCTTTGGCCAATAACTGATGTTGTTTCAACCTCTTTTCCTTTCTCAGGCAGTTGCGTTACATTGGTCAACCGGATATAAGCGATAAGAGTAGACTTGTAACAGTCCGTAGTTATCTCGACTGTTCGACATCAGAACATCTTCCTCATTTTCTGACAGATATCGGTTTCAGGCAAGTATCCACTCTGAGTGGAAAAAAAAAAAAATGAAATTGATAGTTCTTTGGTACGAACTCACCGCATCGGCACACTGAGCACACACAACAAATTTATTCTGGAATGTGTTGTCTTCGCGTCCACGCCAAACGTGTGCAAGAACCTGGTTGGAAGACTTAGTACCAGGCTGTTTAAGCGTAAAAGGGTTCACTTCAACTCAGGGCAGGTAGAGGGTACCCTCTTCCTGTCTTCAATTAGTTTGCAATCAATTACAATGCTTTTGCCAAAGCTTTTATGATCTTTTAAGGAATTTTCTTCTTTAGTTTGTTGTCTGTTGGTATAAACGAAATGTTAAACTTAATATCATGAACACCTCATTTATCCATTTAGGTAAGCTTATTTTGTATCAAAGCAGTTCATTCGTTCCTCGTTTTGTCTCAGCACTGTTCTTAGTACAATGTATAGATAATTTTCTCTCAATATCTAAATCAATTTTTTGCTTCCTTTCCCTCTGCTTGTTTGCAGGTTAGATCACGAATTTGTTGCCAAAGGTCACATGTTCAGGAAAGGAAAAATGAAGGTCACTGTCTCCAAAATCTTTAAGGTAAGATTCGGGACAATGAAAACATTCTTGCGTCCACCATTACTGAGGTAGAGTTTAATCCACCTGTGTCTGTTAGTAAGTTTACATCATCTCCCTCTTGTCTTTATTTGCCGGATCAGATCTTGACACCAGGCAACCTTGACGCTTTGGAACCCCTCTCTGTATCACATCTTGTGGAACTCAGTATTATTGCTCCTTCTGGAACGGATGGAATTGGAGAAGACATGAGAGCATTTTCAGAGCAGCTTCGACCGTATCCTTGTCTCTGATCTCTTTATTGAGGATGCAGATATCCTTGGGGAAAAAATCATCTTAGGGTCAGCTCCACATTACATCTGATTGTACGTTCATTTAATGAGATATGTATGACTTCATCATTTGGTCAATATTTAAACGAATATAAAATGGTTACATGTATATGAGTAGCATAGAAAGTTCCTAAACTGTGGTGCACCCTCATGGCATTACATGTTCAAGATCTATAGAATTGTTTACAGTCGCAGGTCCTTCTTGATAAATATTTGCTCCCAGGAAATCCCATCAACCGAGTATCGCACCTTGTCTACCTGGGA